TGGCCGAGTTTACTCTTGACACTCGCCCCTCCTCCATAGTGTCCCAACCCACAGCGTGCTACCCGTGTTGTCCTCGACCGGGACTTAGCCCTAGCACCACCACTGCCATCTCACATATCTAAAAGGTCGGTCTTGCATGCGTTTGACGTGTCTCTGCTTACACCTCTACCTAAGGGCAGCTCCAACAACGTTAAAACATCTAGCTCATAGAAAAAAATTACTTAGTAAAAAGTTGGAGAATGATAAGCTAGCTCTTCATGAAGATCTAAACTCATACACTTTTCTATGATTCATGTGTGTATTGTCACATGATTGAAATATTTTTGGATGATATTTTGTAGGAAATTATTTTTCTTAGGAAGCTGGAACATTATTGAAATAAACAACATGCAGAAAAGATTTTGGTTCTAAGTTCATGAGACAAACATTCTAGATTCATGATAAAATTATTTCATGTATAGAAGGTCAGAAGAATTATGTACCCAATGCAAGTTCAAGAGACAAATGTTATAGCTCCGAGAAATTTATTCTGAATTTAATAGACAATAGGAGAGATAAATAAAATTAAGAATAAATTTGAAACCATGAGGAAAGAAAAATATAAATAAATTGACTACATAAGTGAAGAAGACGGCAAAGTATACTGGTGTAGGAGGCAATCACAAAATATTAGTAGAAATTAAAGGACACGAGATGAGGGAAATTTCTAATAGAAAATAATGATGTATAGTAGAAGGAGAAACATGTAAATAAAAAACTAAATATTAATAAACAGGATGGAAGGAAACAGAAAAGAGAAGGGAAAACAACGGAAAGAACCCACCGCGTATGTGTGTTACGAATACGGCTGTCTCGACCCGTTCTACGTTACACACGGTCGGTTTTCCCCGGTCATCGCAGCAGCAGCAAGCCAGCAACAAAGGACGGCCGCCGCGCTGTGGTCTGTGGTCTGCAGTCTCTGCTGTGCGATCTGGCAATATTGTAGGCGATGTCGACGTGGCCCGCCTGGATGAACCACTCATCTGCTACCTAGTGTTGCAAAGGGAGAGAAAGGCAGACAAATACGCGCGTGAGGAAATTGGAGTATACTCCGTCCTAGATATTTAGTTGCCTTACTTCTGAAAGTGACCGATCCGGCCGAAGACATCAAATCTAGCTAGTTTAGCTGCCTTTCTTTTTCCACACTGAAGCGCCTAAGCGTGGTCGATTCGTGGGCGGCTAATTCCATCACCAAATTTTAGACAGCCGATAGTTTGCCACATCCAAACTTGCCCTCAATCTAGCAGTAAAATGATATGATTGAGGGCCATATTATTATTTTTGAAGTGTGCTAGTATATGCAGCGCAAATATGATCGATGGCGTGAGACATATCTTAAAACATGTTTTGGACTGCTTCACATTATGTTTTTCAGTCAAGCAGGCGCAGCTCCACAAACTTTGCTCCAAGAAAAAAAATGTGGAGTTGTGAGAGCACCTAAAGAGGTGCTCCAAAAACCCTAGGTTTCTATGAAGCAGTCCCGAATATAAACTGAAAAACATAGAGCAGAGTAGTCCCAAACAGTCCTTTAATTAGTATATTGCTATAACTAGCGCTCCTTTGAGCATCTATATCGATCCATGAGATGAAGGAAAAAAAAGGAATCTATACCTTTCCCTTAAAAAACATTCGGTCATCAGTCAAACACTTCAATAAGCAGAAATAATAATCACTATTGGATTTATTTTATTTTCAAAAAATATCCATCTTTATCATTATGAAAATACAATAAATTAACCCCTAAATCTTCATCAAAAGTTACCCATCTTCGTAAAAATAAAAATATCCTAAATTAACCTCTAATGTTTCAACTAAACTAGCCACTTATGTTACTAAAAATAACCTAAACAACCCCTAATATTCAACTAAATTACCTATGTATGCCATAATAAACAATAATCTACAACTAATCCCTAAATTTGTATCTAAACTAGTCATATATGTTACTAATAAAAATAACCTAAAGCATCTAGTCTATGCCATGACAAAAATAGTCTCGATAAACAACATAGATTTGCATCTATATTACCCTTCTTTGCTATTATTTAAAATAACTTAAATTGAGTGACTTTCTATATATACATTTAAATTACCCATCATTAAACAAATAACAAAGTATTTACAGACGCGCTTCTAAATTATACATTTCTCCAATTGCTAACATAGAAGAATTGACTCAAGATATACATTGATGATGTGCGTGGACATTAGTTACAATGGCCAATCTATTATTCATACCCCTAAATGTATTCTCCATCTAAATAATGTCTTGATTGCTCCTAAAACCACCAAAAAACTTGTTTCTATTCATCGTCTTGCTTCTGATAATAATGTCTTTTTAGAGTTTATTCCATCGTAACTTCTTTTTTATGAAGGATTAGGATATGATGTCCACTCTGCTTAGATGAACATGTAGCAAGGGGCTATATCATCTTCCACCTATGCCACACACCAAACATGCATACAGAGTTAGTAGCCATATGTCAATAGATGGCACAGTCACCTTGGTAATCCAGCTGCTCCTATTGTTTATGAAACTTTGATCTTCATTGTTCTTTTGAATTCAATAAAGACCATTTCCTTGGTATTAAAGTAAATAAGGTACGATATGGGATTATCTTAATCCAAGAGGAATATATGTTGAAGACTTATTGGAAAGAGTTAGAATGTCTGATTGTAAATTGGTAAGCACTCCCTTGTCTACAAATGAAAATTTGTCGATTCTTGAAGCAGACCCAATTGGGTCCACATGATGCCACACACAAAATAGAAGTAATATAGGTGCACTTTAGTATTGGACTCTTAGTAGACCAGGCATCTCTTTTATTATAAATAAGGTGTGTCAGTTCGTACATGCACCCACTACTACGCAATGGGTAGCTGCAAAAATAATTTTAAGATAACTAAAGCAGTCTAATAAGATTGGGCTTAAGATTTGCAGGTCCAAATCTTTGCTTGTAGTGCCTTTTCAGATGCAGACTGGATAGACTCTTTAGATGATAGAAGATCTAAGGGAGGTTTTGCTATTTTCTTGGGTCAAATTTGATCTCATAGAGTGGTACAAAGCAAGCTACTATATCACGGTTAATTATTGAAGCAAAATACAAGCAATAGCTAATCCAACTACAAAAATAATGTGGATTCAGGTCTTGCTTTAGGAAATTGGTGTTCAACGCCCTCCCATGGCCAAGCTATGGTGTGAAAACCTTGGGTCCAAGTATCTATCTGTCAATCTTGTGAATCTTGTGTTGCATGCATGCACGACTAAACAAATAAAAATCAATTGTCATTTTATTAGAGAACGAATGTCAAGAAAAGTGTCAAACAAAATTGACCTCGTTCCTTCAAGAGATCAAGTCATAGATGGATTCACCAAAGGCATGTCAGTGACACAATTAGGAAACTTTAAGCTCAATCTCAACCTAGATCAGTTGTTACTGAGAGGGCTATATAGAATAGGAAGTGATTATATGTACCATATCCCTTCTGGTGTAATTTGTGATTGACATGACATGGTAGTTTATCTTGATGTTGTATTAGGTAGTTGAGATGAGATTTGTATCCCTGTCTTGTAAGCTAAGAAAGCCTATCAATTGTCACAGATGGAACTTGATATCTTGTAATCCCACGCATGGGGATCCTCCATGCCTATATAACATGAAGAGCCAGCCGAGAGCAAAGGCACAACTTCCACCCAATTCCAATTCTTCCTTTGAATTTTACAATTTTAGTCCATTTTAGCAAGTTTAAGTGGACCTAATGACCTCAAAGAATTAGAGCTTTGTGTCTCTACTAAACACGCATGCCACGCTTTTACTTGGATCAAGACTCAAACCGTATGACTTATTACACATGAGCGTGCACATGCCAATTCCATATGTGTTGCAGCGTGTGCTTTAATGGAGGACTGGGCATAGGATGCCAACATTAATTTGACTAAGATGCCATTCGATCAATTAATTTAAATTGAATACTTTTAGAGGGGTAATTTAAACTAAATAAAATGCATAGGGGGATCCCCTCATGTTAAGAATCCTTCAACGTACATAAATCATTTTCTTCTCAGAAGAAAAAAAATGATATATTAAGATCAACTAATTAAGAGTTTGATCTTCCCACCATGATTAAATCCACACTACACTTGTTTGCTTTACACCATCAGATAGACTATTGTGAAATTGTGTGTGCTATTTCTATATACATGCTTTAAATTTAAAGAAGGAAGAAGGGGAAAGAAAGCGTAATTATTGGTGGCTTTCACATTATCTGCAACTGGATGGAGAGTATTGATTAAATTTAAATGTGTCAAACCCATGAAAAGAAATAAATATGTTATAGGAAACAGAGAAAAAGGTATATAGATGACAGGAGTAATCAAGAGATCATCAAAATATTTTTTTTAGATAACGGAACCAAGTTCCAGCCTCTACAGCTAAGAGTTATTACAAACTGAAGCCATAAGGCTCAAACTCTTACGTCCAAGAAAGGAAATAAAAGCGACAGACGCGAACAACAGCAGAAGTTCAGTCCAACATGATATCGACTAAAAGCCTGGAACTAATAGCCACCCGTGTTTCAATGTTTTTAGTTGACTTTGAGTCCTAAATGGAGCTCGAAGTTTCAGATCCTCAGTATCTTTTGTGTCAAAGGTGAAGTGACGATGAAAATTCAAATTCCCAAGAGAGAATCTGTCACTACTGGCCCTCTCAAATCAAAGGAGAATCCAAGAATATCCAGCAGTCTCCAAGCTTCCAAAGAGTCCACGTACGTTTATCTATCCTCGTCAACATATTCGATACACAACTGGTTCTCTCATGGTTTGCGCCATGCCGCACACTATAAATATCACACCACTGTGCAGCTTGTACCTTCAAGACACAGCTAGTAGCACTCCAGGCTTCCTATACATACACATATAGAGAAACGTATACCAGCCGTCACACTGCAACTGAAGACTGAAAATGGCCAACGATTCCTTGGTTACAGCTCGTGTCATTGGAGATGTCTTCGACCCCTTCTGCAGCTCCATTGATCTGATGGTGCTGTTCAATGGTATGCCCATTGTTAGTGGCATGGAGCTGCGTTCTCCGACGGTCTCTGAGAGGCCAAGGGTTGAGATCGGAGGAGATGACTATCGTGTTGCTTATACCCTGGTAAGCTCTATCTAGCTGCTCGTCGTCGTCGTCCATGCAGTAGTTGTAGTTTCCTCTGTCCATTCACGCGGTAGTTTGTGCATGCATGTGTGATTAATTAACATACATGGATGCAAATTTGTGTCATTGACTGTAAATTGTGCCGTGTATGTTTATACAGGTGATGGTTGATCCTGATGCTCCAAACCCAAGCAACCCAACCCTGAGGGAGTACCTGCACTGGTGAGGGAGCTAGCAGAGCCCTAGCTTTATAGAAGCTAGCTACGTTCATAGCATATCTACCGTTATTGGCTTGTTGCCCACGTACCTCCGATCCATGCTGCACTTAGAGGTGCATGCAGCACGCGTGTCAATGCGAGTGGGACGACACATAAAACATCATGAGTTGATCGCCGTACATATACATGTTTCGTTATCATTTTGTTTATATGTGCAAGTTGTGCATACATTATCAGATTATATCCTTTTGATCCATTCATGTCCATGCATGCAGGATGGTGACTGACATTCCAGCGTCAACTGATGACACCTACGGTAAGTATATATACGATGCTGTTCTGTGCTAGCTATGCATGTCTCTGTTGTATTGATGGTCAACATCTCAGCGTTTACTTGTTGGCCAGGCCGAGGTAGTATCCATGTACTGCGTTGTTTGGACGTAATCGGATTCACCTCAATTTATATATGGCCTTGTTTGGATGCATGTGTATGCACCTCAATCCACATGTGTTGGAGTGAAATGGGATTGAATTTAGTTTAATTCCACTCCAATCCACTTCAACACATGTGGATTGAGATGGATACATGTGCATCCAAATAAGGCATATGTTGAGGGTGGATTGGAGTGGAATTTAGTTCAAGTTCTACTCTTATCTATCCCAACACATATGGATTGAAGCCAATCCGACTACATCCAAACAAGTCCAATTGTGGGATATTTTCATGTATATATAAAATAAACGTTTTAATAAATATTGTACAATTGCATGCAGGGCGGGAGGTGATGTGCTACGAGGCCCCAAACCCGACGACGGGATCCACCGGATGGTGCTTGTGGTGTTCCGGCAATTGGGGCGGAGATTTGTGTCTGGCGCCGTCAAGGCGCCACACAACTTAGCACGCTGCGGCCCCGCCATTGCTACAACCTCGGCGCACCCGTCACTACAGAAAACGCTCTTCTTGCCGCATTGCTTGCCCCGGTCGGCAAAGGCATAAACCCAGTCGGCAAAGGCTTTGCTTACCGCAAAGCTCACGTGGCGGTCGGCAAAAGAGCAATCGGCAAAGCCTGGGTCGGCAAAGCGGATTTGCCGACCGCCACGCGGCACACTGATCGGCAAATCCTTTGCCAACCCACCACGCCAATGATCGGCATAGCCGTGGTGGCCGCCGTCGACCGACGGCGAGCTTTTTAAGATCGTGGTTCCTCGGCGATCGGCAAAGAATTATTTTTCAAAATTGTTTGCCGTATGGCCGCCACTTCAGCGATCGGCAAAGAAAGAAATTTTTTTTTGAATATGTTCTTTGCGATCGCTTTGAGTTGCGATCGGCAAAGATTCTTCCTGGTTTTTTGCCCAGCTTTTGCCATTATAAACAATCGGCAAAAGCTGGAATTTTTTTTTTTTGCCGATTTGGAGTTGCAATCGGCAAAAGATTCTTCCTGAGTTTTTTTGACTTTTTGCAGCGATCAGTAAATCGGCAAAGCTGGAATTTTTTTTTTTTGCTTTGTTTTCTATTTTCTCGCATCAAAACCCCGCAAAATCACAAATTATAATCCAATTTCACCGAAGCACCGGTAGCACCATTTATATCACAATTTCATCACATTTGTCGCCAACATCACCACATATATCACAATAACGCACAACATCACATATATGTCACAATAACAACCACACAAGTGCATTACAACCATCACATGAAGTCCAACACGTCGAACACCACAAGTCGACGTCCATCACACTGAGTTCAACATAACAAGTCTAGGTCCATAACGAAGAAAAGAAATACATGACAACAACTTCGACGATACGGTGGATACATGATAATGTAATCGACAAGTACCTAGCTCGTCGCCGTCCCCCGTCTCTCTCGTCTCGCTCCGCCCAGAGAGCCCCGTGGTTTGCCCACGAAACCCCTTGGACCAAATCGAGGCGCTGCACAGTCTTGCCACCCTCCAAGCCCGGCGGCACGAGTACGTCGTCGGAGGAGGGCCACGCAGAGGTGGATACGGTGGATAGGGTGCGGTGGTGGATACGACATCATCGATGGCGGGACCTCCGAGAGACGGGTTCGAACCCGCCGATCGTACTGCACAAGTTAAACGCCAAGTGATGTCATTAGTATCTGCAGCATGGACGCTGAAGTTAAAGCAAGAGTCAATATACTCACCGGGTCCCTCCAGAGCGACGAGGAGAGCACAGAAAAACTCTGGAGGAGGAGGCGGTGGAGCGAACATTGGAAGAGGAGGCGGTGTAGACGCCCCGGGCGTCTGCATGGACTGGAAGAAGCTGGCCATGTTCTGCATCTGAGTGTTGTAGTGCTGCTGCAGGCTTTGCTGGTAAGCCATCTGCTGCGCCATCATCTCTGCGCGTGCAACGTGGCGATCCTCTCCTCCATCTTGGCCTCCATCCGGGCTGCAATATTACATCCGCAGTGTTGATTGTATGTACAAAAGCGAAACGAGTGAACGACGAACGAAACGGCACTTACCGTGACGCCGACCGCCGCCGGGCGCTACGGGATGTCGCCGAGCTCGTGGGCGGGATCGAACTGGGTCAGTAATGAGGAACTCGGGACGGGTCGAGGGCGTTAGGGCCATGTAGTAGCGGTTGTCGTCTTTGCTTCCTGGTCCCAACCTCTCGCAGGAGGTCTGTGTCCGAGGGCTCGGCGGTGGGGTCGAACGCTCTCCCGTGGCGCCGCGGCGAGCCGCGACGGTACTCGGGTGGCCTTCTCGTAGGCGGTGGGGTTGGTGTACGCGCCGGGCCCGTCCTCCGGGTTGTAGACGTTGTTCGGATCCGTCGCCTTGCCCTTGTGAGAGAGGAGGTACGCGGTGTACTCGTTGATTTCCCTTACCACCGCGCGTCTGCGTCGCATTGAAAACACAAACATGGTTACAAGTATTGATAATTGAGCGCAAGGATTAAGACATGAACGGACGATACCCATCTTGTCGCGAACTGGGGGAGGGGCTGATTCCCTTGGTGGTGTGACACCCCTCGCATCTGCGCGCGGCGGCCCTGACGGTCGGCGCGCCTCGCGTACGCCTCATCCGTGCGCCACATGCGCACAATCTCCGCCCAAAGATTCCTCGTGGTTTGTCGCACCACGACGGACACACACTGCATGACATCAAGTATTTGACATGCGAGAAGATTAGTGTAATGTTTCACCGAAGGAATCGAACGAATGTTGTCATACTTAATTACACGCTTTCGTATTAACGCTTGGGTGAGGTCGGCCTCCCTCGAGTTCATTCTCTCATGGATTTGGGGCTTCTTGATGTTCTCTCCAAGCACGTTAAGCGTGGAAGTCGCGGATGGCTTTGTGTCGCGCGCTCATGGTACAGGTCCTTGAGACGATCTTTGCAGACCGCCTCCTGCACTCGCGCCGCCTGGGCCGCTTTACCCTCCTCGCACGTGAAGAAGTCCTGCACACAGACACATCATGTAGCATTTCCTTTTTGCAAGAAGTCCGACGAATGCGTACTATTTAGCAATGCGGTGCGATGAAAGACTCACCCAAAACTCCCTCTTTATCTTTGCCGCGATGGTCTCGCCACCCCTCCTCGACGAGGTAGAAGTGGGACCACTTGGTGGGCACCTTCATCTCGCCGTTGACGTTGACAAGGCCAGGGTAGTACTCCTTAATCAGGAGGCCCTGGATGCCATTGATATGGCGTGCTTGACCTGCTCCACTCACAATCTTCCAGGAACTGCACGAGTCATTAAGAATAATTGTTAGTCTTCAGTTCGATTTTTGACATGTCATATGAACAAGTAGTGAAATCAATAATGGTTACTTACGTCCGGCCCACGGTGTGATCACCGGTATTTGGTGGAATTGCGGCCGCACCCTAGGAAGTCTGCGTGGGCCCGCCGAGTACACCTTAGCCACGCTGACGAAGTCGGGTTGCCTCGCTCGCTTTGTGTAGGTAGCGCTGTCGTCGCCGTCGTCGTCGCTGTCGTCGTCGTCGCCGCCGCCAGCTGGCCTTCGTCGTCCTGTGACGTCGTCCCCCTGCGAGGGACGAGAACGACAGACCTCTGGTCGCTTGGTGATGTCCGGCCGGGGGCTAGGACCCCCTCTTTGGACGACCAGCACCAACACCTCCTCCTCCTCCTCGCCGTCGTCGTCGGGCGGTCTCCTCTGGGGGACTCGATACGCCGAAAGCGTCTTTGCTCGATCTGCGCATTGCCGCCGTCCGCCTGCATTTTGCCGAGTGCTGCAATGACAAAGAACAAAATCTGTTAGCATAAATAAATGACAAGTACTTGTAAAGGAACATAATAATAACAATATAGTATTACATGGCCTCGTAATTATCTCCGCGAACGGCAATATCTCTCGGCGTGGAGTCGTCATCTCTATCACTATCGCGTCATCGCTATCAATATTGTCGAGCTCCCTTAAGTCATCACCATCATCATCATCCTCATTGTCTCCATAGTCATCATCATGTACCTCCTCCTGGACAACTCCATCGCTTGCAGATCCGCCATCGCTCAAGCATTCTTAAGTCCCCGGCATCCTGCACCTCCTCACCTCGTCCTCATCGACTTCGTTGTCTACTTCCATGCCCATGAGCGAACCAATGTCGATCTCCAAGGTACCTTCTAGCCCCTCGGTTGATAGAACTCATCGGTGCTTGGGTCAAAGTTGTAATCGCTGTCGCTTGGGAGAGGCGCTTTGCTGCGTGGCGACACCAAATGCACAAGGCTCCACCCCGCAAGCTTCTCGCCTTTTGGCACGCCCATGGGAGGTAATAAACTTGCGTGGCGTCTCGGTTGGCCACAATGTAGACATCGCCTCCTTTATAGTCGAGTCCTGTCGAATCTCGACTTGACCTATCGTAAGGTCTTTCCTCGTGATATCAGGATCGAACCAATGGCATTTGAATACCACCGGCGCTAAAGTCCCGGCACCCTTAAAGTTGAGCTCGTATATCTCTTCGACTATGCCGTAGTAGTCCTTCCCATCTGTGCCGGGTGTACGAACTCCGCAGCACATGGTTTTTAGGTTGGGTCGACTCTCCTCGTAGCTTCTCGTGCGAAAGCGATAGCCATTCACATCATAAACGGTGAATGACTTCACCCTACGGGAGAAGCCACGGCCCACCTGTTTCAATTCATCGCTCATTTCTGCATCCGTTCGGGCCTGCAAGGGTAGAAGATCGTTACATAACTCGCTCCGGGGAGCAAAGTGGAATCACAAAGTCGGAAAGAGGTTAGTTGGTTGGTACCTTTGTACAGAACCAGGAGATGAAATCGGGCACACCGTGTCTAAGAAGATTGTCTTCTTCTTGCTCGGTAGGAGCCCTATTGCCTCTCCAGTATTGACTAATAAATTCCCTAAAAGAAGGAAGAAACTAGAGGGTCAGACCATGATAGATGGAGGATAGTGACGGCGTAGGTAACAAGCTCATTGAGAACTTACTTCTGATAAGGAATCACTTCATCAAGGTTGATCAACAATGTGAACATGATAGTCTGCCACTCCTGATGGTTCAACTGCTTGTTGGTACCTGCGCTTCCACTCCCGAGATCCCCTTGGAAAAGGCTGAGTATCGATGAGTTCTCGTCAGCGTTGTAACGAGGGGTTGGATTGTGCATGCTGCGAAGCTTCTCAGTATAGTACGCCTGTGTGAAGGTCGACACCTCCTCTAGAACGGAGGCCTCTCCCACGGAAGCCTCAATCTTGGCTTTATTTCTACAATTTTTCCGAAGAAGCTTTAGACACCTCTCGATTGGATAGCACCAACGGGCTCAAGACGGGACCCCCAACCGTGCCTCATCGCGCAGTAGGTGCAAGATCGATGTTGCATGGACAGAAAAGAAGCCGGGTGGAAATATCATCTCCAACTTGCAGAGAGCAACAGAGGTGCAGCCTTCTCCAGCTCAACAC